TCATCCTGATTTGGATTGAACTTCATTTCAACTTTCAGCTCAGAGTGAAAAATCACTGTTCTCGTGGTGGAATATAAAATGTTGAACTTACATTTAGAATAACCAAAGTTGTTTTTATTATATATAAATATGTTTTTATCATTTATTTAGCAGTTCAGCTTCAAACTCTATTCGAAAAGTTTGGCATTAGTTCTGCTTTTGCTGCCTTTTAGCTGTTTTACCTGCTCGTACCAGGTTGGAGTCTTGACTTGTGGCCTAATTGGTGCCCACTTACAGTACCAGTGGAGACCAATGTGCAAGCATGAACGTTTGAGGAGAGCAGCACTGACAGAGCTGATGTTCAGACTCTTCTGTTGGGGGGAAACCAGGTGAATAAGAGAGAGTGTGAGCACTTGTGCAGGTCTGCAGCTCCCACTCTTGATGATTATTTTATGGTGTACTGTGTCCCGATCACTCCCCTGGTTGTAAATTTCTACATCGTGTTTTGTGCTATTACTCAAGTTTTGCTTTCTGAATGGTGTTTTTTTGTGAGGTGATCAAAAGGTGTTTTGTATTTCAACATGTTTTGCACATATACCTCCTCTGATACTTTTTTATCTTTATGCTGTCCTTGCTTGTCATCTCAGTTTTAATGTAACTAGCTGTGAGAGGATGCAGGAGGTGGCTGATGGATGCTGATCCCAACAGCTGCTCGTAGCGTTCGTTTCCTCGCACACTGCTGGTTGTGATTTCTGCGTTTCTCTGGCAGAAACGATGTCGACGTGTCATCGTGCTTCTGGTTCAGCAGGTTCTCCTAAAGCAGAGGAATTTTCAGCCTTTTTTTATTTGCTTTGATGCAACAACAAGCCAAACGTTTTCACATCAGCGGGTCCGTGTAACGATTGTAACTGACTAATGATACCAAAGCTTTATGTATCCACACAAAGCTGTGGCTGTATGAACTTTGTGGGGAAGATACCTGGTGTGGAGGTGTAATAAAATCAAGTTTGTCTGACTGCAGTCAGGCCAACAGATCCTGTGGTCTGTCCATTATTATTCAGCTCTGACAGTTTGCAGCACTTTATTCTGTGAAACTGGCAGTCGATCGAATGTAGCGCCCATATTTCCTGTTAAAATCTTTGTGTGAGACTATGAAACATTACTGTACAGTGTTAATGTTACAGAAGAACCGGAGGTGAAACAGACAAAATTCCTTTTATTACAAAATTATCCATAAAGATATGAACTGTACTCCTGTGGTGTTGGGCGCTGTAACAGTACTGACCATGGTCATAATTCATATTTCAGTGTATGGTGCCACTCGGTCTTTTTCAGGAGCAAAGTGTGGACAGATCATTTTTCATTTGCTAATGAAGAACAAAAATCTGAACTACGTTGAAGCTGATGATCTCACAGTTAAGAACCGCCCACAGAGCAGCGTTTGGACTTCTCCCTTTGCTCGTTCACACCTACCAACACCTGTGAAGCTGTACAGATGAAGCTGTGTCTGCTGGGTTGGTGTGATGTACATGCTGCTGCTTCCTGTTTGTCAGTTGACCTGTGGTGTCTAGACTTCA